AAGAAGAAGAAGAAGAAGAAGAAGAAGAAGAAGAAGAAGAAGAAGAGAATTAAAGGGGTCAATAAAACAGTAAGCAGGGTATAGCTTCCACAAACCAGAAATCAGCACCAGAATGTTTATATATGATCCTGTTGATTCTGCTTATGCCGAAGCTCCGTGAAGTAGGTGATATTTCCCTATTTTAGGGCAAACACTCTGGCTTATAGAGTTTGTGTGACTCCTTCAGGAATTCAGCTGGTGGGCAGAACAGCAGGTTTAAACCTCCGCTGACAGTGCTGGGCCCCACAGCCTGCCTCTGCTGTTAGCTTTGAGGCTTTGCCAAATCCCCTTAATTCAGACGGGAGCAATAGTTCCCACCCACCTGCCGTTCTCTCTCAGGTTTACCTGAAGGAGAAAATAAGATAAAGGACCTGAAACTGAGTTCAGAATAAAATCTCTGTTTTAGTAAAGGTGCTGTCTGATCAGAAATTTTACTTTTCAGACTCCATCCCCAGGGAATAATTAGGAAAATGAATAAGGGCTTGTGTGGAAAATGTCCACCGCAGTGTGATTTATGCTAAGACAAGAGAGCCGGTGCATGACTCAGCAGGTGAAGGCACTGGTCAAGCCTAAACCTGGAATCCACACGGAGGGAGGGGATTGCCGATTCCTGAAAGCTGTCCTCATGACCTCCATGCGTGCCTCGGCATATGTACACCACACACACAATAAAACATAAACACAATTTAATTTTTAAAAGACTGGAGAAACAGCCTTTAAAACAAATTTAGTCGCAGGGCTCAGTGGTACACACCTGTAATCCCAGCACTCAGGGAGGCAGAGGCAGGCAAATCTCTGTGAGTTCAAGGCCAGCCTGGTCTACAAAGCAAGTCCAGGACAGTCAAGGCAACACAGAGAAACCCTGTCTCGAAAAAACTCAACTCAAAACAAAAACCAAAACCAAACAAACAAAAATAAAAAGTGGTCAATGTGGTGGCACACGCCTGTAATCCCAGCATTTGGGAGGTAGAGGCAGGTGGATGTCTGTGAGTTCCAAGCCAGCCAAAGCTGTCTGTCTTAAAAAACAGGGACAAGAACCCTGTCTTGAAAAACACAAAAGCCACAACAACAACAAAACCAAACAGAAAACAACAAACTCAAAACGCTTAACATTAAAAACTAAAAAGGAAGATAGCGTTAAAGTTTTGGTCATATAACACAGGGTGGGATACAGCTCTGTCATTGAAATAATATTTGTAAACAAATTTTAAAGTATCAGTACCTTTTGGATATACTTTAAGATCCAAGTGCTTTTAAACAGCTTTATTTTTATTTATGTATATGTGGGTGTCTGTGTGAGTATATGCCGAATGCGTGAGTGTGTGTGTGTGTTTGTGTGGTGTGTGTGTGTGTGTGTGTGTGTGTGTGTGTGTGTAAGGTGGGCACAGGCAAGTGTGCACAAGGCTAGAGAGGGGCAACAGGTGCCCTTCATTAACACTCTTCCCTGTATCCACCTGAACTGGTGTAGCTCGCCGAACCTGCAGCTTGCCTTCATGGACCATTCAGCCAGGCCTAGTGATCCTCCGGTCTCCAAGACTGTGATGTCAGTATAGTATAGGTCTGAGTGAGACCATGCCCAGCTTCTTATGTGGGTGCTGGGATCCAAACTCACGTCCTCGTGTTTACACAACAAGCACTCTTAAGCGCTGAGTCATTTCTCCAGTCATGAATCACTAGTTCTTGAAGTAGGATGTGCAAACTAAAAGTGAAGGTTTACGAGACGGTTTAAGGAGCCGATGGCGCCCATCTGTCTCTTCCAACCTCACTGTCTTCCTCCACGGAAACGCTTCCCAGGGCATGTTCTGCACTCATCCAGGGAGCCTTTTTCTGGTGGCAGAGAAAGCTGAGGGTCCTGGGTAGAGACTTGAGTACTGGGACTAAGAACAGGAAGGAGGCCATCGGTGATATAGCTGAACTTTTGCCACAGGCCTGTTAGCAGTCTTACATCTTTATCTGATCTTTGAGAGCACTTTATTTTATTTTACATTCTCCAGCTTCTTGTCCTTGTAGTTCATCCAGGAAGTTCATAGAGCCAAATTTACTAGGCTCATTCCTTCTTTCTTTTTACATTTATTTAAAATTTTGTGTGTCTTTGTGCCCTTACCTGTGTGCACAGCACATGTGTGGAGGTCAGAGGACAGCTCTCAGGGGAGGCAGCTCTCTCCTCCTTCATGCAGGTTTTCAGGGATTAAGGCCAAGTCAACAGGTACCATCAGGTGCTCTTCCCCACAGAGTCACCGAGGAACAAAACAAACCCCCAGGACTTCCCAAAGAGAGTGAGACCGTGAACATTAGCTCACAGAGGGTGCCTCCACCCTCCTCTGACCACTCACCTCGCCCACAGCTGGTCTCCGGGAAGAAGAGAGACGAGAGAGGATTCTGAGCAGCACACGTGAGGCAGGCTTCCACCATGTAGAAGAACCAACTAAAGACTCAACTCAGAGAGCTGGCGTTTACTCAGGCTTTTAATCCTAGCATTTGGGAAGCCAAAGGAAGAAGGTTGCCTCAAGTTCTGAGCCAGCCTATCTCAAAAACCGAAAAGGCTAGGGCTGGTGAGATGGCTCCAGGCATAAAAGGGCTTACAACAAAGACTGATGTGAGTTCAAGCCCCTGTGTGGGCTTGAATAGGATGGCCCCTTAGGCTCATATAGTTGACACTATTTGAAAGGATTAGAAGGATTAGGAGGTTGGAGAAAATGTGTCACTGAAGGAGGACTTTCAGGGTTAAAAGCTTATGCCAGGCCCTGAGTCTCTCTCTGTCGGCCTTCAGGTCAGGATGTAGCTCTGGGCTACTGTTCCAGTGCCTGCCTGCTGCCCGTGCGGCCCGCCATGCTGCTCATGGGCTCTAAGCCCCTGGAACTGAGCCAGCCCCCAGCTGAATGCTTTCTCTTTACAATAGCGGCCTTGATCACGGCGTCTCTTCACAGCAGCAGAACAACGGCTAGGACAGTCCCGAAGCCCACACGGTAGAAGGAGAGAGCCAACCGCCTCAGGCTGACCTCTGACTTTCACACGTGTGCAGTGCTGTGCGCGCACTCGTGTGCGCGCGTGCACGCACACACACACACACACACACACACACACACACACAGAGGAAATGTTAAATGTTTTCAAAAGGAAGATGAATGAAGTTAGCAGACCAAGTGCTAGGATTGTGGGGCTTAGATTCAGACACCTTTGGGGGACTTTTTTTTTTTTTTTAATTAACGATTGATATGGGAAGGCCCAGCTCAGTGTAGGCAGAGGCACCCCTGGACAGGTGGTCTTGGGTTGTGTAAGCAAGCCATAAAGGGCAAGCCAGTAAGGGGCAGCTCTCTATGGCTTCTGCTTCAGTTCCTTTCTTGAGTCTGTGCCTCAGCTTCCCTCAGTGGACTGTGAATTAGGACGTGTAAGCCAAATAAACCTTTTCCTCCTGACGTTGATTTTGGTGTCATATCACAGCAATAGGAAAGAGACAAATAGCATGCTAATCATTTCATTTGTGTCTTAAATTTCTCTTGTCCTCTGAGAGAGAAGAAACTGTTCTTCCCCCTTTCCCAGACAGGATTGAAGGCACAGAGGGGGGTAACGTGCGTGACTGTGCTAATCCTTCACGTGTGTTCAGGTGCTGTCACAGGATTTCAGCAGGAGCAGAGTACACTGGGCTCCAGATGCTCGCTCTGAACGAGGGGGAGGAGTAAGCAAGTCTGAAGCGACACGGGAGCCTGTGGCACTGTGGGAACAGAAGACATGGAGAGCATGGGCTGCAAAGCTCAGGGGAAGGGACGCTGCCAGGATGAGGAGGCGTCCACAGGGGAGAAGAGGACCCCAGGCAGAAGTAATGCACAGAGAAGGGTCAAAAGGAAAACAGATGGTGACGGCTTTGGGTTGCAGTAACGTCCCTGGCAACTATTGCTGTAATGATAGCCCAGGTAGACAGGGAAATGAGCGAGGGAAAAAGCTTAGAGAATTCAGTTGTTTGGTCAGCTGGTTCTTTGTGGAGGGGACAGTTCATGTTGTCTCTGTAGAACTGTGAGGAGCCAGAGAAGGCTTTGACAAGCAGAGACTGATCATTCAGTACGGCTACCAGGTCTCCAGGGTACGCTATGGCTTGCCTGGCTGGCCACTTATCTGCTGCTCTGCTAATCCTGGTTTCCCATTCTCATGTTGTTTTCTGTGGCATCCCGTCTGATTCATATTTGAACACTGCCCGCCCCAGGGCTCACCCCAGAGCAAAGTGCTCAGTAAATATTTGTTGAAAGAATGAATGGGAGGAGCTGGGCTCCACCCAAATCCTGAGACAACATTTGGGGCAGGGACAGTGGGGGCGTGGGGGTGGGGCCCTGATGGCAGGTGACCATCAGAAGGCTGGTGACTCCAAGTGACAGCACAGTGACCACAGGTCTCCTCTGCAGATGGCCTCCGTGACCGACGGCAAAGCTGGAATCAAAGATGCCTCTGACCAGAATTTTGACTACATGTTCAAACTGCTCATCATAGGCAACAGCAGCGTCGGGAAGACTTCCTTCCTCTTCCGCTACGCCGACGACACCTTCACGCCGGCCTTCGTCAGCACGGTGGGCATCGACTTCAAAGTGAAGACGGTCTACCGCCACGAGAAGCGTGTGAAGCTGCAGATCTGGGTGAGTGCTGGGCGCCTCGGCAGAAGGGGGCGTGGTGGCTCCTGACCACTGGGTCACATGGCAAAGCTGTTTCAGGTCTGGGTTTCTGTTGTCCCATGTTTGCTTTACATGTTTATTCTCCTGTGGGGGGTGGGCGGGGGCGGGGGAAGAGGGTTCAGTTGCTGCTGCTTAACTGTCCAAAAGACTTTATTCTGGCTTTTCTAGATGAGTGAACAAGAAACTGGGCACTGGAGTTACAGATCCCAATTTAACCCACTGACTCACCCTTTCCTGGGGGTGGGGTGGGGTGGTGCATACAATCTCATCTAATTACTTTGTGTCTTTGCTGGGACGCAGTACTGATAACCATAGATGTTAGTTACGGATTACTTACCTACCGTGGCATAACAAATTACTCCATGGTGTAAGCCAAGAGCGGTACTCGATCAGCTCACAGTTTTGGTGGGTCTAACGGTACGTGTTGCTTGGGGCCTTCCGTGAACGCAGCCAGAGTCTGGCTTGAGCTGCAGGCAGCAGAAGAGCTGGCAGGGGCTGGAGGATCACTTCTAAGGTGGCTTACTCAGTCCTCTGGTGCTGACTGTTGGCAGGGGCCTTCCTTCCTCCCCACCCAGCTCTGCCAGCTTCCTCATTGTACGACAGCCGCACACAGTCTAAGATCCAAGAAACCAAAGAAGAAACGGCAGCGTCTGTTACATAGCCTTACACTAGTCTTTTGGTCTCTGATTCAATTTGGGAAGAAACTACAGAGAGGTGCAAACTCTGGAAGAAAAGGATCATGGAGGATAAAAAGTCTTGGAAGCTGGAGACTCAGTTACTACTGTTATCTGCTAATGGCACTAAGAAAATACACACCTGTTTCCAAGGCTTGTCAGGGCACTTAGCAATAATTTAGCATTGCAGTTGGAAATCTTGAAATCTTTGAAAGAATTCAAATCATGTAAGGTGCTGGTGTCTATTATACTTATTACATATATAATAGCATATTGTACAAATATCTTATTGGAAGAGTCTACATCTATTTTTACAAATTATTCCTCATGTATTATTATACATAAATGTTATGAGGTACATACCATTTTTTTTTTTTTTTGAGACAGGGTCTCATTTTGTAACCTTGGCTGGCCTGGAACTCAGTATGAAGAGTCAACTGTTTCTGTCCCTTGATTTTTGGGATTAAAGGCTTGGCCACTTATAGGTACATAGTATTTTAATGGAGCATCCCTGTTTTCCAAAGGGAAAAAAAACCTCTTAAATTAACTTGCCTCAGGTCAACCACACAGCTACAAGGTAACATTTGAACTCAGATCTTTAAATTCTGAATTTTATGCTGTTTTTTTCTAATATATTCTATATTAGACCACATTTCCATCTAAGATGATGTTAGATATTAATTTCTAGAGAGATGGTTGTCCATTAAGTCCCCACTAAAGGCACTGAAGCAGCATAAACCGTCAGGAAGAAGAGAAGCTATGAAAGTTGTCTGATTTACTGGTTCTCCACACCAGCAACGCTCGGGGTTTTGTTAGAAATTCATTTTTGGTCCTCACCACAGACATAGTGAATCCAAAGTGCTGGAGGTAGGGCCCCCAAATCTGTGTTAGCGGGTGTTGTCTAACTACCTTGTGTGAGAGCTGGTGGATAAATGAGAGCACCTACTGTGTGCTGAGGGCTTTCACTGTATCCATCTGCTCCGGAGTCAACCCCAGCTCCGGAGTGCATGAGAGCAACGCATGTGTGGGCAATGAAACTTGCTCAAGACTGTGAGAGAGACAGACGCTCTTGCCACTGGCCAGATGGTAAATGTCTGATGACCCCTTAGAGAACTAAGAAAATACTAGGACTTGTTTTAAAATGTGTTAATGCAAAATAAATTCATCTTAACTGGTATTTACTATGTAGATTGGCATGGATTTCCTTTTCTGACTCCTGTATCAGATGGTCACATATTCTACAGCTGAAAATCTTTTTTTCTTTCTTTTTTTTTTGAGACAAGGTTTCTCTTTGTAACCTTGGCTGTCCTGGACTCACTTTGTAGACCAGGCTAGCCTCAGACTCACAGTGACCTGCCTGCCTCCGCCTCCCTGTAATCGGCTGAGATTATAGGCATGCATCACCGTGCCTGGCTGAAAATCTTGAGGCCGGAGGCATTCTGCCCTTCTACGGGCAGCAGTGACTTCCTCACACCTTGGTGTACTGAGAGCTTTTGCAGTTTTGCAGTGCCTGGCGTAAGCAGATTCATCAATTATGCTATTTAATTTTAACGAAACCCCGCAATGAGCATGCGGCTTTTTTTTTTTTAATTTTATTTATTTATTATTATTTTTACATTACTCTGCCTTCATGTATGCTTGTACACATGAAGAGGAGATGAGATCTCATTATAGATGGTTGTGAACCACCATGTGGTTGCTGGGAATTGAACTCAGGACCTTTGGAAGAGCAGCCAGTGCTCTTAACCTGTGAGCCATCTCTTGGAGACTATACCAAGTATAGTGACGCCAAGCGACTATAAGAAAATGGCTGAGCGATCTGTCTCCAACAAGTTCCTGGCACAAGTTTATTGTCAGCCACGTTTCCAAGTAAAAAAAGTCAATGAGGATTGATTCAGGTCTTAATTAGTCAATCTCATTGCTTTGCTTGAATTTTTCAAAGGTTTCTAGGTAGCAAAATTATAACTTTTATACTATTCATGTTAAAATTTAAATATTGTTTCAGTTTTACTGTATCTGAGTTTGTGTGGTTGGGGTGAACGGCCCACGTGAGAGAGAGAGAGAGAGAGAGAGAGAGAGAGAGAGAGTGTGTGTGTGTGTGTGTGTGTGTGTATGTCTCTGTAGGTTTGTTCATATGCGTGCCTGAGGAGGCCAATAGAGGGAGTCAGATCCCCTGGAGGTAGAGTTAAGAGGCAGTTTTGAGACATCCTAGGTGGGTTCTGGGAACCAAACTTGTTGAAAGGGTGGTGTATGAACCCCGAGTTTCTCCATTTGCGTGTGGGGAGCAAACTCAGGTCACCAGGCTCACACCGGTAGATGGCGCCTTTACTCACTGACCGCTACCGGAACTTCCTCTTCCGCTGAGCTCCACCATTAAACCCGGAGCTAGCACCAGGGTCCTGCCCCTGCTTACTCAAGGACCAAAGGTGCACAATAACACGGGGCTTCCACACAGGCTGGGAGGCTGAGCCCAGCTCCTAAAGCTTGCGTAGCAAACACCGTACGGCCTGAGCCATCTCGCTAAGCTCCTGCTTCATTTTTTTAAAAATTTTATTAATTAGTTTATTCACGTTGTATCCCAGCTGTAGCCCTGTCTCCCCCATCCCCTCCCAATCCCACCCTCCCTCCCTCTTCTCTCCTATGCCCCTTCCTGCTTCGTTTGTATATTTCTTAACATATTTTGTGCACAGAGTATGCATATACAACCTCTCTGTGTGCTGTGCCTAAACTTTTCTTTCTTGAACGGGTATGTTTGGTTCTCATGATGGTGAGCACTGGGGGAAACATGAGGGTCTTGACAAAGATGGATTGGCGTCTTAGAAAAGCTTCTGGCTTCAGATAAAGGATAGATAGAAATGAGATGAAGGAACTGTGGTTTGGATCCAAATTGCATCGTTAAACTATGTACATTAAATACACTTTTATGTATTAGTTACATATTGTGGAACCATTTAAAAACAAATAATAGATATTGACCAAGCTACAAAAGAAAAGAACAATTAAAGTCACCCAGTGGGCCGGATAGGTTTTAAGGGTCCAAACGTAAAGAACACAAAAGCCATGAAAATAGACATAAAACTAATCACTTTTCTAGTTTCTCTCTGTTGTGGTTTCTTTTCAGGTTGTGTGTGTATGTGTGTGTTGCATAAGTGCATAAAAAATATAAGTGATAGTAAAAGTGTAAAATCCAACAGCTTCAAAATGGTTTTTCTGACTGTATCAAAGTCACTGGGATGTAGGAACATTGGGTCTGGATTTTTTTTTTTTTTTTTGCAAGTTATTTAAAATAAAATTTTAATACTGGCAACAATAATAACCGTCAAGGCAAGTGTGGTGGTTGGAATGAGACTGTCCCCCACAGACTCATATGTTGAGATATTTTGGTCCCCAGTCGGTGGAACTGTTTGTGAAAGATCAGGAGATGTGGCCTTGTTGGAAAAGGTGTGTCAATAGGGGTGGGCTTTGAAGCTCACGACCTTCCCGGTGGATGGAGATGAGAGCCCTCAGCTCCGTTCCAGCACCACGTCTGCCTGCTTGCTGCCGCGTACCCCACCGGGACGGCAATGGACTCTGCCTCTCTGGAACTGTGAGCCGGTTCTGAAATAAGTTGCCATGGTCACGGTGTTTCTGTCCAGCAATGAAAAAGTCACTCAGGCTGGCAAGCATGCTAATCTGCTTGGGCTGCAGTAACAAGTACCACAGAGTAGGCACCTTAAGCAGCAGAAATGGTTTCCTCACAATTCTAGAGACAAGTACAAGATCAGGGGACAGGCAGGGTTCCATGCATACTCATATGCCTTTCCATCTTCCTGGCCGTGCAGGAGAAACGGCGTTGAGGTTCTTGCTGTCTCTTAGGGCACTGATTCTGTTCAATCAAGTTCTCGCCCTTATGTCTTAATAACAATAATGTCTTAGCGCCCCGTTTCCAAACATAGATGCATGTTAAGTTAGTGTATCAGCATAGGACCTTCAGAAGGACACAGACATCCAGTCATCACACTGAGATAGTGACAAAGTAACATAGAGAGTGGAAATGAGAATTAGAAATTTACTAACTTGATGGTCAGTTTATTATGGTGGTGGTGGGGAGACACACACATATATTCTAGACTTTTTACACAAAAATTCTCATTTTTTTAAAAAAGCCGTGTGACTCTCAGTAGGTCACTCCGTGTCTGGGAATAGTGTTTCCTGTCATATGCTTCACAATTTCTTGAGAGGTGTGAATACAGCACTGGAACGTAGTGTCTGGCACGCAGAAGACATGTTAGGTTCTGTCTTAGGCTCTGG